TGTGCGGGGAGAAGGGTGCAACAATGAATGAATGGAATCCTAAAATCTCTGTAGATGTTCATTGAAATGAAAAATAAACAACCTAAATTAAAAAAAAAATCAGGAAAGTAGTACGTCAGAGATGCATCCTGTCTCCATAACTTTTCAATCTATATGCAGAACTGATCATTCGGGAAGCAAAGCTTTATGAGGAGCCATCAGAATTTGAGGAAGACTCATCAACAACCCACGTTATGTAGATGACATAACTTTGCTTGCTGAAACTGAAGAAGAGCTAAAGGGCTTGCTGCAGAAGGCTTCACAATCAACACTCACCAGCAGTCAAGAAATCAGATGAATTGCAGTGGAAAAATCTGCTGTCAGTGACCTCTCCAGAGTGCTGAAAAGCAACGATGTCAGTCTAGAGACTAAGGTGTACTTAATCCAGGACATGGTCTTTGCAATTACTTGCTATGTATCAGAGAGTTTGACAGTGACCAAGGATGACAGATGAAGAATGGATGCCTTCGAATTGTGGTGCTGGAGAAGAGTCTTGAACATACCAAGGACTGCCAAAGAAACAAATAGGTCTTTCTTGGAGAGGGTGAAACCAAGTTTCTCCTTGGAGGTGAGGATTTTGAAGCTCTGTCTCACATACTTTAGACATGTGACCAGGAGAGAAGGAAGTTATGCTTGGAAGGGTGGAGGAACAGTGTAGAAGAGGAAGACCTAGGATGAGATGGATTCAATCAGTGACTGGGGCAATGGGGGTTGGTGTGTCAGAATTAGAGAGAATGCTCAGGATAGGGCAGGGTTTAGAGCTGCTCTGCATAGGGTCGCTATGGGACACAGGTGACTCAAACGGCACATAATACCACCACCACCACTAGTTACTTCCCCAAACACTGGTCTGTGCCACCTCAGGGTTGGTATTTTGAGGGTGAACACTGCTGTGGGTTACAATGGTTCAGTAACCCCTTTTTGGACAGAGTGCCTTGTTTGGTGAGCATCTTCCCTCCATCTACAGTGTGTGACCAGGTGCAGCCCTGCACTCCTTGCTGTTCACTGAGGTGTCCAGTAGCTGAGCAACCACCAGCTTCAGGGGGATGAGGAAATGGAGGACAAGGTAAGGGTTTGATGACTCACTGACCACACCGTACCTCAAGGGACTGAGATTCACAGTCTAGCAGGAGCTGCAGTCCAGTAGTACTCTGGCCTTCAAGATCCCTCTGCAAGACCAGGGGCTATATGAGTGCTTCTTATTTCAAAGAGATTTTGTTCATGTGATAACATATAAAAGAATTTCCCCACACATAGCTATTTGGGCTCTGAGCTGGGACATTTTGGCTCTGTGGCACACCGACAGCCCACCATTTTGGCTTCTTTCTTATTTGAGGTTATGACAAATATTTCTTTTCTTTTTTTTTTTTTTTTTAGGCTTCCTGAGATTGACTGTCTCAGAACACTGTGTGGAAGTAAGCAACTGGCTCCTTCAGACAGAGCCCAAGGGCATATGGTGGATGTACAGCAGAGTGAACTTCATTATGACTACTGAGTTGTTTCAAATACAGAGAACCTTCACTAGTCACCTGGCTAGTGAAAAATAAATATTATGAGGAGAAGCCAAGATTCCTATCTGTGGAGAAGCTCTCTTTTTGGAATTCGTCTTTTCTCTAGATTGTTGTTATTTTCTGATGTTGAATTGACAGCAACTCATAGTGACCCTATGAACAGCAGATCTGAACCTTGCCCTTACCCGTGCTATTTCTCCATCTCTGAGACAGTTTTAAGGAATACTGGCCAGAAATCAAGGAGCTACTCTCCTCTTTGCTGGGCTTCATGAGTCAACAGGCAGTGAATAAAGCTCAGAACTCCAGGAGACAGATATCAGTCAAACACATGACCATGCTACCTCCTTCTGAGACATAGCTTACAAAGGTAGTCAGAGCAGGATAGACGCACAGCTGCATAGCAGCTGGATCTAGACCAAAGAAATTTTCATCTTGGCTTTACCACTGTGTGATATTGGGCAAATCAATCAACCTCTCTGTGTCTCAGTTTCCTCATTTGCAAAGTTGGGATAACAACAGTAGCAATCTTATTAGACAGCTGTAAGGAAAATAATAATGGGATGCTTCCAAGGCTGGTTGTTCTTGTGTGCCACTGAGTCAGAACTGACCCACAGCTGATCCTCCAGTGGGTTTTCACAGTCAGTAAATCATACAGGAAGAGACTGCCCATCCATCTCTCACGGAACAGCTGGTTGATTTGAACCATGTGCCTTTGGGATTGCAGAGCAGCTTCTTACCACTAGGCTATCAGAGCTCCATTGCCTAGCTAGGAAAAAAAGCAAGTAAACAAGTTTGGAGATAATAAACAGAAAGGACAAGAAAGGCAGAAAAAAGGCTGCAATCAGCACAAGGCTGCTTGACTCACAAGAAGGCACACATCTGCCATGTTTTTACCTTGCCAGGTCTGCGGAATGCAGGACACAGAGATTTCTAGTGAAGTGGATCCAGAGGACTCAGGAAGTCAAGTGGGCTCTTTGTTGCAGACACGAAGCACTCAGAAGTATCTGGTTCCCACCAGGAGAGGTGGTTGATGCATGGCTTCTTATTCAAACCAGGGTAGTTTCTTATACAAACCAATACAAACTTGAGCAATGAGTCAAAGTAATAGGCATTGTCTATGAAAAAGGGTCAAATACTTTATTCATCTCTATATAACATATAGAAAAGCAAGCAAAATTAGGTTTTCCTCAGCCATCCTCTCCACATTTTGTACAGTTTCAATGAGCTATAAATCACCGATTTCTTCACACCTAAGAGAAAGAAGAAGAGAGGATGAGACAACAGAGGTTTACTACGTGTGCATATTCAGCAATAGTACTGGTTACATTCTGATCAGAGGCCTGTCTCTGGACCACAGAAGCAGATAACTGACTGTGGGGTCGTGGAGACCATGGCCACTACTATTTACCAAAGACTTTGCCCAGCACGTCCCACCCAGGAGGCTTCAAAGCCCACTCAAGGTTTCCTCTCTAGGAAATGTTCTCTTTGCCTCCCAGGCTGAGTTCAACATGGTATTTCCAGGTATCTGGGCTTATCTTGATTAGAGTATTTCTTGCATGGCAGAAAGATGGGACAATCTGCTAGTTTACTCATCCAACCCTCTGCCTGGACAGTGGGCCCCTTGGAGACAAGGCTTTGTCCACTTCTTCGGCAACCCGTCATGGAGAATAGATAGTATCAGCACCCTGCTCTGGCTGGGTACATGCCTCTGCAATGACTGAGCACACACCTTCCACCACGCACTTCTGGCCTACCGACAAGTGTGTGAAATCCAGAGAAGATACTGTGTTGAGGCTGACATCAGTCTGTGTTTAGGGTGTGGATTATGTATGCCACCGCCTTTTCATGGGAGCTATGCACAGTCTCAAACATACATCTCCGGGAGCACTGTTGATAAGGCAGCAAGCCCATTCTGAAGATTCTGCACACTGGGGTTTGCCCTGAAGTAGGCTCAGTTCACTTTGAAGAGGGAGGTGAAAATGCAGGGAGTAAAAAATCATTACTGAATACTTCCAGATAATCTGGCTTGCTTTTCTACTGGCTGACTTCTTGCAAACTGATATATCAATTGGAAAATACAGCCCATTTGGGAATCCAGTACTACTTCCCCTGTCTCCACAGCTTTTAATTTTCTCCCAGGAGCAACCACTCTGGTAATCTCACTCACCTGAGCATAGTAGACTGGAAAATTATTACATAAGGTGCTTTTCAAAATTCCAGCTAGTATCAATCAAGAAACAAAACAGTATAGAGGTGGTTGTATATAATTAGGTTTTATGAAGTAACCCCAAGGTACTGAGTCACAACTAGAGAAAGCTACACAGACCATGAGAATTCCCAGCTCATTTGGAAAACATTTAGTCACATATTCCTTAGAGTTTAAGCATGTTAGGTAAATACATAAAGGACATAGGTTCACCATGCAGCTTTCCCCACTCCCTCTTCTAGTGGATAGAAGTCTCTCTATGCCTTTTGCTTATTTTGTAATTGGGTTATCAGTCTTTTTTTTCTGGAGACCAGTAGTATTCTATAAACTTTTGTTATGAGACCCTTATCTGAGATGGTATTGTTATGTGCTGTTGAGCAGCTGTGACTCCTACTGACCTATGTACAACAGCTCTGAACCCTGTTCTATTCTGTGCCAACCTTATTGTCTCTGAAACACCCACCCCCATTACCTCAGTCACTGAATCAATCAATCAATCTCATTGAGGGTCTTTCTCTATTGTGCTGTATCTCCATACTTCCAAGCATGATATCGCCCTCCAAGGACTCTCCTTGCAACATGCCCAAGGTATGTCAGATTCATTATTCATTATCCTTGCCTTCAAGGAGCAGCCTGGTTTCACACTCTCCAGGACAAATTTGTTTGTTCTCCTAGCAGTCCATGGTATATTCAGAACTTCTTTTTCCCCCCTTCTTATGTAACAGCAAGTTGGATCTGACTGGCACAGGCCTTCTCCAGTGGAGCATCTGGTGGATTCAAACTGTGTGCCTTTGGGATTGCAGCACAGTTTCTTGCCACTAGGCCACCAAAGCTCTCTCCATGGTATATTCAATACTCTTCTGCAGCACCACAGCTTAAAGGCATCAATTCTCCTTCTATCATCCCTAGTCACTGTCTGCCTTTCGGATGGATAGCAAGTAATTGTAAAGACTATGGCCTGGATCAGGCACACCTTAGTCTCAAGACTGACATCGTTGCTCTTCAGTACTCTGGAGATGTCCCTGATAGCAGACTCTCCCAATCCAATTAATCTTTTAATATCCTGGCTGCTGGTACCAAGAGTGTTGACTGTGGAACCAAGCAAATGAAAGCTGTTAATAATCTCAATCTCTTCTCTATTTATCATGATGCTGTCAATCGGCCCGGTGGTGAGAGTCTTTGTTTTCTTGATGTTGAGTTTCAATCCATATTTAAGGAACAGTTGTAAGCAGACATTATTGATTAAAATGTGGAATGTGAGAAAATGAACATAGGAAAATTGGACACTGTTAAGAAAGAAATAGAATGCATAAATATTGACATCCTAGGTATTGGCAAAATAAGATGGACTGGCATGGAACATTTTGAGTTACTGTGCCAGAGATGAAAAGGTAAGAAAAAAAATGGGGTTGCTTTCATCATTAAAAAAGTAATTTCTAGGCGAGCTCTGGTGGCCTGGTGGCGGGAGACTGCACTGCAATCCCAGAGGTGCACAGTTCAAACCTACCAGATGCTTTGCTGAGGAGGGAGGGACAATCTCCTCCTTTAACAGATCCGATTTGATGGTACACACATAAAAAAATAGTAATAAAAAGAATTTTTTAAAAAAAGTGATTTCTAGATTCATCTTGAAATACAATGTTGTTAGTGACAAGGTAATATCTATATGCATACAAGGAAGTCCAGTGAATACCACTATCATTCAAATATATGCACCAACAACTAGAGCCAAAGAGGAGGAAATAGAAGATCTCTACCAACTTTTGCAGTCAAAAATCAACTGAATTGCATTAATAAAAATAATAGGTGACTGGAATGCAAAAGTTGGGAAGAGAGAAGAAGGATCAGTAATTGGAAAACATGAACTTGGTAACATAAATGGAGCTGGAGATAGAATGAAAGAATTCTGTACAATCAACGATTTATTCATTGCAAATACTTTTTAGAAGAAACACAAACACAGGCTATACACATGGATCTCACTTGGTGGTATGCACAGGAATCACATCAATTACATCTATGGAAAGAATTGCTGAAGCAGCTCAATAACAGCTGTGAAAACTAGGCCAGGTACTGATTGTGGAACAGACCACCAACTACTCACATCAAGCTGAAGTTAAAGAAAATGAAATAAAATCTATGGGAACCAAAATTTGATCTTGAATCTATCCTACATGAATTCAAAACCATTTCAGGAACAAGTCTGAGGCCCTGAATAACAATAAGCAAAGACCAGATGAGTTGTGGGAGGATATCAAGAATATCATCCATGTTGTTGTTGTTAAGTGCCCTCAAGTTGTAGGCAACTCATAGAGACCCTATGAATGAAAGTCCTCAACCCTTGCATGACTTTTATCCTTTCTCCAGGTTAACAGGGTTTCCGGAGGTAAGCTATTATGGAAGTGGATGCCACTCCTGCTTCTAAGCTTGTTTTAATTGGGGAGCTCCATCAAACACTGTCTGCTATTGGTAACCATTATCACATTTGTCACGTCAGTGTCAAAGTGTTTAGCTTCACAGCAACCACAAGTTACCGCTGTACGGCAAGTGGACACACCAGGGCTATACGATCTAGAAGAATGTTTCACCAAAAACAATGAAAAATAAGACTGAGGGCCACGGATTAAAAGTCACCTACCTTGGGCTTGGTAGCATCACTTTCTGTCCACTAGGCCAGCTGATCTCTATGTTGATGTTTTATTGTTAAGTGCTGTGGAATTGTAGGCGATTCACAGCGACCCTATGAACAAAGTCCTCAACACTTGTATGACTTTCATCCTTTCTCCAGGTTCAAAGGGTTTCCGAGGCAAGCTATTATGGAAGTGGATGCCATTTCTGCTTCCAAATCATCCATGAAGAATGCAAAATGCCCCTCCCTGTGGCCTGGGGATCTCATGCTGTCTGCATGCCTAACTCACGGCTTTCTACGTTTGTTTCTGCTGTCTACTCCTGGAGCACTGCACCATGGTCTCCGGAAGCCGCTGTTGAAGAGATTTATGTGGCCGCCGTCTCCTTCCAGCACCCTTCAGGCCTGGGGCATGGATTTTCTTATGGCCCGAAGGCCAGGATAGCTATGGAGGAAGAGCTGACACGGAGGAACAGTTTCTGTTTCCCCGAATACATAAGCGAGCGGGGGCCCTCGCTGACCCCAGGAAAGCAGCTGGAGCAGCTACAACAGCAACAGGGGGAAGAGGAGCGACAGAGGTTACAGCAGCGGGAAGAACGACGGCAGCAGAAGGTACCGCTAGCTGCAAGATGCATTGGGTGGTGGAGCACCCGCACCCAGCAGTGCCGGCCAGCGCGTGAACTGCTCGGGCTGCGGAGCGGAGCCGCACTACCAGGACCCCAGCCTTTCCTGCAACCTGCCCAGAGAGAAGTTCTGCAGCGCCGCGACGCAGGCGGACGGCGGGCTGGTGAGGACCGTGTGCCAGCTCTGCTGGATGCTGGTGCACCATCGGCGTGCCCTGCACCTGCAGGTGAGCCGCGCCCAGTACCTGGAGCTGGTGAACGCCGCGCTCCGGTGCCCAGGGCCCTCCTTGGTGCCTGATCTGGTCGCAATGGTAGGCCTCAAACAACTGATTGTGCTGGGGAACAAGGCAGACGTGCAGCCTCAAGACTCTCCTGGCTAGCGGCTCCGGCAGTGGCTCCGGCGGCTGTGTCCACGCCGGGCTACTTCCGCAGTGTGGCTGCAGCAGGTTCCAAGATCCCGGTGGATAATCTCGGGATGGAGAGGAGAACCGGAATCCGCCAGCCAAGCCTTGCACGGTACTCAGGGACGTGCAACTGATTAGCGCCAAGATAGGCTTTGGGGTCGAAGAGCTGATCTTCCTGCTTCAGCGCTCCTGGCGCTACCGCAGCGACTTATTCCTGGTGGACGCCACCAAAGCAGGCAAGTCCACTCTCTTCAATACGCTCCTGGGGTGAGCCTACTGCAGCGCCAAGGGCATAACAGGGCCATAGTCTCCCTCTAGCCTTCTTAAGTTTCCTATTTGCATCCCAACTCCTTATAGAATGTTTGCAAGACAAAAGAGGCTTAAAAACGAT